TTTGTTGTCTTTCAAATAAAACAGAAATCTCTCCGTTGGACTACGATATGTGAAAATCAAATAAAATCAAGAATATTTGGCACGAATTGAGGAGGAACTTATTAAATGAGAATTTTCCAGAAGCGGAAAATAACACGAGATACTGGCTGCTGGTAAATTTATGTGAAGGGGACATAAAACAACCGGCATCTGGAATCAAAATAATGGTTGGCAGGATTTAAAAGGATTTAAACTGTCACCTCAAAACTATATTTTAATATACATTTCCTTTTCATAAATTTTTGGAAGGAAATAGATTTAAAAAAAAAATTAAGTATATGTAGAAAAAATAGAAAAACTCATCTTTTTCTTTAGTATATGACAAATATATGAAAAAGCTGAAATAAATGGAATTTACGAAAAGACCACGCCTGTAACTGTTAAAGGAATACTATAGGGTCATTAACACAAGCACTGAAGTGGTTTGTGTGAAATGTCCCAGGTCCCTTAACCCTGCAAAGGTAATTAGTGCAGTTTGTAATAATATGTGAAGACAATAAAATATGTTTTTATTATGTTTAATTAGAGGTGAACGGTCATCTCTCCGAAATTTACACGAAATTTAGTAAAACATTGAAAATAATTTATAACTTGTGTTAACCTTTTCTCATGTGATACTCTGTTTTATGTTAAATTTATATAAGGAATTAGCATATTCCATCACGAACCAGCTCAGACCAGACAAAGTCAGAACAAACTGCCCAAATAAAGGAGATGAGCAGAAACATTGTTAACATTTACTTGTATTTTTCACACCTTATGTACATATTGTTTTAACCCCTTAAGGACCAAGCTTCTGGAATAAAAGGGAACCATGACATGTCACACATGTCATGTGCCCTTAAGGGGTTAAATAAAGGGATAAGTAAAGCTAATATTATCCTGGGAAGTGAAGCGCAGAGGCGTTTTTCATTTAAATAATGTATGCTATGGCCCTTCCTGCCCCACTTGAAAAACTTTTTCGAGCCAGCAGTGAACACAAGCTCGCATTAATGATTGCAAAACTAAACTGTTATACAAGAGTAACCCAGTTCAATGTGGAATAATGGGCAACTAGAGGACCTGCTAAAGTTTTGTTCATTTTTTATATCTGGGTACTCGCCAAGCATTCTCAAAAGTGTCCTGGTTTGAAGAGTAATTACCACAACTCATGGAGTGGTGTGCCCACTCTGCTGTCTACCAAGACAATAAATCCCATTTGAATAATGCATGGCAGGGAAATATATGGTTGTAGATAGCAAAGGCTTTTAATTTAACCACCTTTTGCCTTAACTCTCTCATCAGAACTGAAAACGCCATAGAATCTTGTCTTATAGCTGTCTCTACCCCCATCTCACTTTTGAGGAAGTACCTACATACCTATAGACCCCATAAATCTCTACAACTATATTCTTATGCTTTCAACCCACTGGCAGGCAAGCCTCCCCTAACCATGAAGACAATTAATGTGACAGCTGCTGAACTATGCTGGTCTTTTTCATGTAATTGTTCAAGAGACCCTAATACTGAATCCCTGTTTTTCCCCACATCGTGGAAAAATACCACAAATTGTAGAGCTCTGAGCAACACTATTAATTGTACCAAAACTCACAAAGTTATGAGTTACCACTACCATGTCTATCTCCCTAAAGGATGGACTTTCTCCTGTGGAAATATTACTTATGGTAACATTACAGGAGGTCCCTGAGCAGTTTCATGCCTAACCATGACCATGTTTTCTATCACACAGGACCATACCCTCTAGCTAGCAGGCCATTGTTTTGGCATTTACCACACTCTGTTGTGGTTTGGTCTGCCTGCTCTACACCCAGGGGAAGTGGAAATTAGATATCTCTGGGTAAAGTAAAACAAAGGTTCTCTGGCATTATGATATCATGATACAAGCTCATATGATACCAGGATTATCAGATATGTTACATAGTTTTAAAGCTCAGTAATTTCCCAACATACTGTGTGGAGAATGTATAAATAAGACGAAAAGGACATAACAAAAAGAAAATGTCAAATAAAATTCCTGAACAGATAAAATCAGTCTAAACAATGTGACACGGTGGAAACCCAAACTTGCAACAACATATGTCTATAGCAAACTAAAACAAAGTATATTAATGAATTTCATAGTATTCTCCTTGATACTCTGGAACTGCAATGTTTAACATGGCAGCACTAGGTGCAAAAGGGACACAGCACCCAGACCACTTCAATGAGCTGAAGTGGTCTGGGTGCCTACAGTGTCCATTTAAAAGCAACAATGGGTACTCACTGGGATATTATCATTAAGAGTATCATGAACATACCCTTGGAAAATTAAGGCTCAAATGAAAGAGAATAAAAATATAATCAGTCCAAATGAAACTCCCCCCCCCCAAAGTCTTTGTTTTTTTTATTGTATTTCTATAATCATTTTGGCAAAACTGTGTAGCAAATAAATCCGCAACATGAAGCAAACTTTTTATATGGAAGTAAAAATAATATTGAATAACTAACATGAGATAGGCTTATATAAATACGATATATATGAAAGGAAAAATGTTTTTTTTCATTATTATCGAAAACACAAGATTACATGTTGTACTATGTATTGTTTTGTAATGCATATATATTAGTTAATAACTCTTTTTTATCACTCTTGCTCTGTGGGCCAGCCATCTGTAGTCCATTTTGGCCAGAAACACCAGTTACCTGCTAAGACCATGTTCCATCTGAAGGTCTGAAAAATTCTCTGAGTGCATTTCCAGGTCTTTCATAAGTTGTCAGGACTTGTGAACATGCACTAGTCCTTAATGACTGTGACTTGGCTTTGCCCCCCAAGATGCACTATAGAAACCTACTTCTGAAGATTTGGGGACGAATAAACACAAGTTTAAGTTTTAAGGATTCTGTCTGCTACCAGCAAATCTCAAATGATGAAAAGCAAAAACAGGAGGTAACACAATGCACGGCTTATTAGTTAAGGCCCACTCGTAGAACCACGTTTTTATGGGCCTTATCTCCTAAACTGTGAATTGTTTGACCTGTTACATTTTCCAGCTGATGAACCATGCCAGCTTTACACATTTTTGCTGCACTAGGTGCCCACACTTGCCTTTTTTTTGATTGTTCAAATCATGAAAAGTTTGCTGAAGAACAACAAGGGTCCCTCATATAGTCATTTGATCTTCTCACTGGCCGTGATGCTAGAGAGCTCCCCGTTAAGGCAAC